GGCCCTTTACTCGAATTTTTTTTCACTATTTTGTTATTATTATTTTTAAAAAAAATTATTATTATTATTATTATTATTATTATCATCATCATTATCATTATCATTATCAGTATCATTATCATTTTTATTTTTATTATTATCATCATTATTATCATTATGTCTTCTAAAACTCGATAAAATCAAGAATGCTGTTATGAATATTGTGGTTGCCTTTTAGCACAGGAGATACCCCAAAATGCGGCAAGAGCCAACAGTTTCAGGTACTCCACAACAAATAACTATAACTTCACAGACACTGATTTAATTCGACGTGGACGGTTGGCGGATGCTCTGATATTGTTTGCTCCTTCATTCCTATCGAACATATCTTTCTAATTTCTCTTCCTCCTTTTCTACGTGCTTCTCTCAAGTAACATCTCTTCTCTTCGACACTTATATCACATATTTGTGTTTAAAGTGCCGTAAAACTTTGACTTAAGCTTATATTTAAATTCAACTTATGTTCAAACTTTCCTCAGATCCACTCTTTACACTTGGCCCATCGTCATCTCAGATCCGGATTCGCTCTCGGTCACGGCCACGCTGACGGTATCGGTGACAGACGTGAACGACAACACCCCCAGCTTCAGCAGCAGCAGCTACAGCACCACCATACACAGCGACGTTCCTCTGGGCACCACTGTACTCACCGTCAACGCAACAGACGCAGACACAAGCTCTGAGTTCAGACAACTCACATTCTCCGTCCAGAGTTCTTCCAGCCCTTTCAGAATCGACAACAATGGAAACCTATTCGTGTACAGCAGTCTTCAAGGATCGGAAGAATCGGTTCAGACTTTGACGATCAAGGTGTCAAATCCGGATATAAACAGTTCTGATTCTGCTTCCGTGAGCGTTTACGTGTACGGCCCAGCCGGAGAGTCTTTCTTTGACAAGCCCGGGAACATCGCCTGGGTGACAGTCCTCAGCGTTCTTCTGGGGTCACTTCTCCTCGCTGGTTTGGCGTACCTCGGCTACTGGGCGTTCACGAACCATTTTGCAGCACCGGTCAGCTACCCCGTGAAGCAGGTGGCGCCGCACGACACCAAACTCAACCCACCCCCGAGTAGACAGCTGTCGACCTCTCACACGCGCACGACCATCACGACTGGCCGGGTCACGCCCAGTGACGTCCGTATCATGGAGCATCGCTGGGAGGCGTGGGGAAACAAGACCTTTGAGGATGGCAACTTCTGATCTATGTTACAGTTATCTTCGATTGATTAAACTTCTGATCAGTTTTTTAGGTTTAGTAAAAGTTTTACGACACTTGCAACACAATATGGTCATATAAGTGCCGAAGATTAGAGGTGTTACAAGAGAGTAACAAACACAGAAAAAAGTAGGAGAGATCAGGACGATAGAGGTTCGATAGTAAAGAAGGAGCAAACCACACCAGAGCACCCGTCAACCACCCACAACAATTTTATACTTATAAAAAGTTTTTGTAAAAGTTTTACGGTACTTACCACACAAAAAGGTCATATAAGTGGCGTGCCGAAGATTAGAGGCCCTACAAGGAAGTAACTAACACAAAAAGAAGGAAGGAGCAGCAATGTCGAGCGTCGGAGGGTCGACAAAAGTATAATAGTGTGCACATAATGTCTGTCTGTCTGTCTGTCTGTCTGTCTGTCTGTCTGTCTGTCTGTCTGTCTGTCTGTCTGTCTGTCTGTCTGTCTGTCTGTCTGTCTGTCCTGTCTGTCTGTCCTGTCCTGTCCTGTCTGTCTGTCTGTCCTGTCCTGTCTGTCCTGTCTGTCTGTCCTGTCCTGTCTGTCTGTCTGTCTGTCCTGTCCTGTCTGTCTCTCTCCCCTATCTCTCTCTCTCTCTCTCTCTCTCTCTCTCTCTCTCTCTCTCTCTCACACACACACACACACACACACACAGTCTCTATCTCCCTCCCTGTTCCTCTATCTCTCACAGTCCCTCTCTCTCTCTCACAGTCTCTCTCTCTCTCTCTCTCTCTCTCTCTCTCTCTCTCTCTCTCTCTCTCTCACACACACACACACACACACACACAGTCTCTATCTCCCTCCCTGTTCCTCTATCTCTCACAGTCCCTCTCTCTCTCTCACAGTCTCTCTCTCTCTCTCTCTCTCTCTCTCTCTCTCTCTCTCTCTCTCACACACACACACACACAGTCTCTATCTCCCTCCCTGTTCCTCTATCTCTCACAGTCCCTCTCTCTCTCTCACAGTCTCTCTCTCTCTCTCTCTCTCTCTCTCTCTCTCTCTCTCTCTCTCACACACACACACACACACGCACATGCTCTCTCTCTCTTTCCATCTCCCTCTCTCTCTCTCTCTCTCTCTCTCTCTCTCTCTCTCTCTCTCTCTCTCTCTCTCCTCTTTTTTCTCTCTCTTCTTTTTCTCTGTCTTCCTGTCTCGGACTCTCTCCTTTTCTCCGCCATTCTCTCTCTCAACTTCTCTCCATTTGTCTCAACCTCTCCTTCTCTCTCTTTTTCTATTACCCCCCCCTCTCTCTCTCTCTCTCTCTCTCTCTCTCCCTCTCTCTCTCTCTCTCTCCCCACCCCTGAAAGACAGAATAAGCAGGTGGTGAACAGTAGAAGGAAGAACACAATAAAATACAAATATAATATATTAAATACAATTGCACCCCAGACCAGATAAAACAATTTAAGACAAAACAAAATTAATCGGTATTTCAACGAAAGGGTTAGTTGGTTGGTATTGTAAATATTTATTGTCCAAATTCACAATTTCTGTTTCATGGTGGTGGGATAAAAGTTTACACAGAGAAGATGCTGGCTGCAGAAAGCTATATTATTATATGTACAGTGTCTCTCATTTCAGGTTTCAGCTGCATTGAGGTACATGTCCCCCCCCCCCAAAAAAAAAGTTACTTTTCTTCTAGATCGTAAGTTAAAAAATGCAACGCTATTTATAGAGACGACAAACGGTACAGAGGACATAGAATTCTATAGGATTATTGAACGATACAAACAACCATGACTACAACTACAATGCACGTTTTTAAAGTTTAGTTTTAGTAAGAGTTTTAGGTCACTTGCAACACAATAAGGTCATATAAGTGCCGAAGATTAGAAGAGTCACAAGAGAGTAACAAACACAAAAAAGGAGGAGGGGAGATAAAGAAGATGCACATTTTTCGCTAAGTTCCCCCCGGCTAAGCGCAAAAAGCTGCACCTTGTCTACAGAAGACACGATTGAAGATAAAAAGTAAATTTCGACCACTTCGTTTGTAAAATTAGTTAAAAACGTCATTTGCATATGACATCAATAACGGTGACCCAATTAATGTGGGCCTCACAGAGGGCAGGAGACTCCTTACGTGAGCTCTAGGTCAGGTAAGTTCCGAAAGGAGGGCTAAACTTTACCCTTACCCCTTTGATTCAATTCGTAGTTACTCGTAGTTGTTTTATCGTTTTTGTCTCGCACAAGCATCCTAAGCAGGTGACTGTTTTGACCGCCAGGAGTTGCTGGTCTTGGGGTCTGTCTGTCCTCTGTACTGTTCCGTCCCCAAAATAGGACGTGCTTGATAAAGTTTCTTCTGCTCTTGGTTCTTGTTTGGTTTTAAATCTTTCCTCCTTGACGTAAATAAGAATTTGGATGACAGAATATGACCACAACGGTAAAAAGGAAAAGAGGAGGGAGTGGAGAGGGAAGAAGATAAATCACAAGTAAATACACTAGTATGTACTTCTAAGCTAATAATACAATAGGTCTTTGGAGGAGAGAGAAGTTTTTACAAGAAAATATATTTAGCAAGCATAACTATAAATACGTCTGTTACACACCTCATTTCAGGGTGCAGATACTCTATAATGTTATTGCCCAATACATGTTTTATGTAAACTCGATATCAAAATTCCCAACTTAACTTTAATTTAATGAGGAGGTTTTAGATAGACGCCAGATATTCTTTAGCATAAATTAGACAAAAAATTGTTCTTTCATTTCAGACTCCAGATTCTCCACACCAAAGTCGATCATTTCGTGATATCCTATTTTTAAAAATTACTCACCCCGAATCATAGCCTTTTAGAAAAAAACCCCAGACAAGCCGTTATATGCTACTACCATAGCTATTGATCGCACACAATTTTGCGGCATTCGTATCAGTCTATTCTGGTCTCAGATATTCAAATACACCAAAACGATGTTACTGATAAACTTTCTGACAGAGAAGCCGCTAGAACCAAACAAATAAATATCTAATTTTGAAAAGGAAGAAGAGACATCTTATTAACCAAAAAAAAAACCAGTCTCTATTTTTTAAATTGAATCTCACTTTGTGAAGCAAATTTTCAAAGATTTTTCCTGATTGATTTTGAGTAGATTAAACTTAGTGAAAGAAAAAAGTGAGACAGATAGGCAGAAACAACAGAGGAAAAGAAAAAAGAAGTACAATCTACCAATGGCGCCCTCCAAAGACCTAATTAATTTTCCCAGATGTTATAAGCGCAGCTTAATTTCGGATAAATAAGAAGACGATAAATCCATGCAGCTAGACATCAAAATCAAATCTCATTTCACGCTGTATTTTTGCTATATCGAGGTCTTTACGCCGTTCACAGTATACAGTTCTTCCAGTCCATTGCATTTCGGTGTGTAAATATTCCTTGGCAGATATGTAGCGCATCTTCTCGGGAATCTCACAGCGAAACGGCAGCCTGTAAAGCGAAGGGAAAATTATATTCATCCGTGACGTTACTGTGAAATGTGAGCGTGAAGTAAGGCTACATTACAAGGGCGTGCACACTCACAAGGTTGTGGAGAAAAACGTTATACTGTGTTACAACAAACGTCATCATGAGAAAAGGATTTTGGTCAATCTCCCCTGTGGATTTAAACCAGGACCATCTACTTCGTGAAAAAAATGGTGAGATGGTCTGGGTTCAACGCCCGTATCAACGCTATTAGGAAATTTAAGAGGCGGGGCCTCCGAGTTTAACGTCCATCTCCGAAAGGACTGAGCCAAATGGGAATTTCATGTAAAGTGCCTTTCCCAAGGACAAAACGTCGGACCGAGCTGTGGCTCGAACCCCCGAACGCGCAACCTCACGATTACGAGTCCGGTAGCCTAACTACTAGGCTACCGACGCCACCTTCTACTTCATAGTTCACATGATGATAACAGACAGCAGTATCCCCCCCCCCCCCTTCCGCTTCCTCCCTGAAAAGTTTGAGAATATGCATGAAGATTTATGTTTAAATGTGGGATACACACCTTTATGTTTTCCTTAAAAACAACAACAACAACAAAATGATTGATTGATAATCATAAATACATGTATTATATTTTTCCAGTGTGTCAGATACCACCTCTACACCACCAGTAATCCCTACCCAGCTGATAGACATTTATTTTAAAAGTATTACAAGGTATATCTTTTTGTCGTCTTTAGGTCAACCAGAATCTATTTTAGATTTATGTAAATTTAGATATTCGTAATAAAAACCATAATGACTTGACCTACCACAGAATACAAGCTATTACAGATTCGTTGTCTATATTGTTATTCGCGGAGGCATTCCCAGAGCTGCTGCTGGCGGTGCTACTGTTTCCGAGGCTGCTGTTGGCAGAGACGCTACTTGAGCTGGCTACCGGGCTGTTTTCGGGGCTGGTATCTACAGATATTTTGACCATGGCCAGTCGACATTCCCCTGTCCCACTGGCCTCCATCAACTCATCAGACGGCCTCAAGACGGAAGTAAAGTCGTCATACGTTTTGTCTGGGAATAAAAATAATGCAATGATATTATCCGTTTGCAATAATCATATTTTGAGATTGTAATTATTTCAAGCCCCCATCAACACGATTTAGACAATTTAAGAGGCGAGCTTCTTCAACTTCCATGCCAAAACAGATCGATGGAGATGCTCAATAAAAACTGCCCTGCTCTGAAATTGAGCTCAGATCTATTGTGTGCAACAGCGAAAAGCCCCACTGCTACACCGCAGACGCTGCTACCTGTTTAAAATGTTAGTCGTTGTTACAATTTGTTTTAAAAGTGGAGCTTGTTTTAAAAGTGAAGCTTTGTCAGAAATAAACAGGGTACCTAAAGCTCAGTCGGCATCATGTCGAGCTATGGCTCAGATGGTCCTAGTTGGAATTCAAAATGGGGCACTCTTGAACCTTGGTTGTTTGTGGAGTCTTCAAGACATTCCCCCCATTTGTCTCTGTCGTATTGGAGATAGAAATAACAATCGGAGGTTACGCCTCTTAAAAATCTTAGTATTGAAAGAGGAGATTGATTGATTGGGTAGATGTTTTACGGCACTATCGACACAATTTTGGTCATTTAAGCGCCATCAGGTTTCACCGCTACAAAATCAGACGTGTTCTTGAAAGAGGAGGTAAACCCATACAAATACCTATCACAAATAATGAACCGTTCAGGTCGTGTTGAATTCAAAGAGGCAAGGATGAGGGGGGGGGGGATTATCTCTAGTGATTAGACAAATTCGGACGCCTTTCGGGTTTGTATCCTGGACCTTTAGATGTTGACCAAGATGTCAACCAGCCGCGTCACCGCAGATGATCTCGTCCTTGTAACTATTTTGAATACCTCCTGGGCTGAAGGAATCTTATAGAAAACATAATCCGATTGAACGTTGTTTGGTAGAAGAAAAGCAACCAAAATCCACCAAAAAAAGAAAGAAGCAAAAGCAAACAAGAGAAGTAGCTCTCCAACCACCCAATCCTTCTGAGGACTTGTCGGTGGGGAATACAAGTGTAGAGAAAATCTACGCAGGGAGAAAGGATATCGTCCTGACATGAGGATATCATGTAGCGTATTAGTGTCAAGCATCTAGGCCTATGATGCAAAGTACTTTTAAAGTCATAATATCCAGATGATGACGACGACGACCACAACGATGATGATGATGAAGATGGATGATGATGATGATGATGATGATGATGATGATGATGATGATGATGATGATGATGATGATGATGATGATGATGAGGATGAGGATGAGCAGGAGGAGGAGGAAGGGGGAAGAGAAACAAAACAATCCGTGTCAATGGACTCACCGGGAGAAGCTATTTCGTCCAGAAGGATAGTGCTGAAATCCCCAGAGAGCTTAAAGATGACATATTGGTAGCATTCGTATTGCTTCATCTCCTCAAACGCAGTCATGGCGGCCTCGGATATCTCTGTCTGAGAATCAACAGGAAAGAGAACATTATTAGTATTATTACATAGATACTTGGCTGGTGCTCTTGTTTGGTTTTCTGCAGTTTTCCTAAAATGTATCTTTCTGATTTCTTCTCCTCCTCTTTTATGTGTGCTACTTGTAACACCTCCAATCTTGGCCATATGATGACTTTACTGTGTTGTAAGTGCCTTACAATTTTTACTTCAAGTAAAATATGAATATTTTTAGGCGCGGTGATGGCGAATATTAAGTTCTTTTCCCCACTATTGGAGATATTCACGATTCGAAACATTGAATACTGGGGGGGGGGTCGCACTATAGTATTTGGCATATGCTGTTTTAATAAAGTGTATGTAGTTTTTACGCTTCTTTAACAACATTGCATAGTCATTGAAGAGACGGGTCCTTTGCATCCAACATTCATCCCCGACATGGCACTGTTTGGTGGTCATTTTAGCGTCCGCCAATTGGAATATCTGAGGTTGGGAACGTGAGGTAGGCCTGCTGAATGTCACAAGAGATGTACCATTTGAAAAAAAAAGGGGTTTATTGTTTTTGTTTTTTAAATTTGTTTGTTGTTGTTTGGTTGTTTGGTTGTTTTGTTTTATTTGGAAGTGTTTGGGGGGGGGGGTGGATTATGGATTCTTCTGCAATCTTTATTCAGTTTCATGCCTTTGCTAGAGATTGCCAAAATGATAGATTGCTTTGTGATTTAGCTCAAAAGTCATCACGAAAGTGATGTAATACTAATGTCGAGTGAAGTTGGTTTTAAATATTCCAGTGTTTGGTTGTTTGAGAATAGAGAAGCACGCCAACGCTATAGATGTAGGCCTACATCATTTAGTGCATGGAAACAGTAACACAATGAGAAACAGCAGAGGGAACGAAAAGAATTTGAATAGGGATCAAGACAGACACTACAGCAGCAGTAAGCTCATGGATTCGGTCAAGACACAATGGCCTGGAGCTCGAATTGGAGAGGAATTCAGGTACTTCTCTTGTCTTTCAGCCCAAGACCACGATGCTCTCGTATGGTTTGAAACGGCACTTCAAAAGCACAAAAGGCAATTACAATAATGGATACACATCAAAAGTGCATGTGTTTGCATACGTAGTTTTACACTCGGACTGGCCATATGCCTACTGATCTAGTCAGTTATTGTACTATTAGATCAAGTTATAAATCGAGTACGTACATACGCGCACGCACGCACACGCACCCAGACACACACACAGATACACACACACACACGCACACACACACACACACGCGCGCGCGCAAACACGTGAGCACAAAATAATACAAATGCATACCAGTATACAAACATACAACATATACCCGAACACACATGCCTGTATACAAACCCACACACATACACACACACACACACACACACACGCGCATACACACAAACACACACACA